ATATAATTTATATAGTTATATTATTATATATTTGATATTATATAGTTATAATATCAAACAATGTGTGTTAATTTATCGATAAAAATTTGATCATATAATTTGTGTATTCTATGCAAACAAAAAAACTTAGAAAAATAATAAATTTTCAATTGAACACAAATATCATTTAATAATTAATTTATTATATACATATATTTTTGTGTCTGTGTGAACACTTTAACCAATTATAATTCTAACCACGAGAGATTATATATGTTAGGATTAAAAAAAAAATAAATAATTTATCGATAATAAAAAAATTAACGAATCGCTCTCGATATAGGAAGAGAAAGAAAGAAAATAGTAATCAAAAAGAGATACAAGAAAATAAAGATTAATATTATAGAAAGAGAACGAGATTTCGGTAGGGAATAAGAATTAGAAAGAGATAGGTTGTAGAGGTTATATGGTGGTATTGGTGCAGGTCACACGCTCGCGCACACGTACGTACAAAACATATGTATAAAACTGTTGGGATGTGATTTCACACGGGTCACAACAACGCAGAGTATATATCATATCTATGTATAAGTCATTTCGTGTCTGTATTGTTTAAACAGGTATATTATAATACACACACACATGTATTTTAAATACGTAGTATACATATACATAATATAATATATATATATATATATATATATATGTACACACACATATAAAACACATACATATGTATATTTATAAGATACACGTGTCAACAACGGTCGTGTCGTGAACGTTTCCTTAATGAGATATAAATAGACGTAAAAAAACTGCACGCAACATCGAGTATCAGGACGGACAAATTTTAATACGGCGAACGTGTAATAAGATATCGATTATAATATTTTTTATATTATTTGAAAATCCTTTTTTTTTTTTCTTTTAAATATAAATAATCGCGATTGGGGGGTTAGGGGGGTAAAAAAATTAGTTAAAATAAACAAAAAAAAATAATTAATGGGTAGACGAGAGTTGACGTAAAACGGACAAGGACGACGACGACGATCACGTACGGTCACGATCGGGTGAACGATTAGTATAATATATATATATATATATATAGATATATATATAATTATATATATACGTATATATATATATATATAGAAAAATAATATATGTAATATATATTTATTTAAACATTGATGTTGGACAAAACGGAAAAAAAAGAAAAAAGAATATAAAAACACTCACCTCTCGTTGAATGTTTCTTGACGTGCGTAATTTTGTAAACTGCCCTCGTCTATCAGAAATTTCATCCTTTCGAAGAAGGATGCAGTTACTGCCGGTGGTTGCTTTCGTAGAAGTATATCGATCGGTTGCGGTGCCGACACGCAAAGCTGACTACTTCGGCATAGATGATTTGAACAGCACTCCGGATCGGCACAATCAATGAGACCGTCTAAAATATTATTAATCATTTTTTTTTGTTTATTTCTCTCTCTCTCTCTCTCTCTCTCTCTCTTATATTTTAAAATTGATTAGAATTTATTAGATATTATTAATCAATGAATTAACGTATACAGGTATATATTATAACACGGTAGATAGGTTCCTAGAAAATTATTTCAATGTAATTTATATATTAAATTTAAACAATTTCTAGGAAATTACATAAATAGTCTTTAATTCCTATTGTAAATTGTATCGTTTTAAAAGTCATTAACATATTTTCACAAACACGATTGAAAAAATATTCTTAAGTAAACCACCGTGTTATAAGTAACTTTAACATTTTTTTTCTAAAATTGTGAGTTTGTAAAAAAGAAAATAAAGAATCCTATTAAAATTGGTAATAAATTTGACATAAAAAAAATTGTATGCGTTAAAAGAAGGTTTGGAAAGTACCGGTAAAAATAAAAAAGAAAAATAATTTAAAAAGAATCTCGTTAAAAAAATGTAACTATATGAATAATAATAGAACTAATTGTAATACCTTTGTCATTGTCTCGTCCGTCGTTACAATTTTGTTCAAGAGGAACACTGCAATCCTTGCCATCCCAACCATCGTAACAACGGCACTCCCATTGACCATAATAGGTGACCCTGCACTGTCCATGACTTGAACAGGCATTTGGACACGCTTCCATCGTACAATGTATACCGTTCCAACCAGTTACGCATAAGCACGTGCCATTTTTGCACTGTCCGTGTTCGTTGCATCGTGGATCGCATTGTTTCAAATTGCAAAGTTCACCTGACCAACCGGGTAAACAATCGCAGGCGTTGTCTACGCAATGGCCATGAGGACCGCAATCCAAATCGCACAATTCTGAGAAATTTCAATGACGAAATTATTTATTATAATCAATTTTAAGCTCAATTATTAGGATGAAACAATAATTGTATAATGGATTGTTTTTGTATAATTTATTTTGGAAAATATGCATATTAACTCTCTAATATTTTTTCAAACATACACTCACACACACCCACATATAATGAATTATTTAAAGTGAATAAAGTTTACCTTTAGAACAATCATCACCAGACCACATAGGCTCGCATAAACAAGTTTGAGTTTCTAAATCGAAGTTTCCATGGCCGCTACAATCTGGTAGACACTGTAAGGCTTCCTTATCCATCTGGCTACAATCTGCACCCTTCCATCCCTTCTTACAAATACACGTTCCCTCGGCGCAGAAACCATGACCCGAGCACGTCGGATGTGGACAATCCACCTCCTCGCAGAACTTCCCTTTGTAACCGCGAACGCAATTGCATTTTCCGTTGGTGCAATGTCCGTGACCGTTGCAATCTGGTACCTCGCATTCGTCGTGCCTAAGGGAACACTCTTTCCCTTTCCAACCAGGATTACATTGACACTCGCCGTTTATATATTCACCTAAAATCGAACAAACGCATATATCAAATATTTATTTGTCTAGTTATGATATTAAGCTAAAGCAAAAGTTTGTACGTTCATTGTGTTGAAATTTTCAATTGAAAGTTGCATAATGTATTGTTTTTGTAAACAATTTATTTTGGAAATATTAATTAGAAAACAAAAACGCACGAACACTTTTGTTTCATTCTAATATAACATTAATAATATCAGTAACATTAGTACATTAATAATATAATAATATTTAAAAGAGAACAAAAATAATATGATTTAATTTGAAACCACCAACAAGTGGTGTTATTGTTATAAAACAAAATAATTTATAGGGAAAAACTATTCTAGTATAATTTGAGAATTAATATATTATTCAATACATATTTTATGATTAAATAAATAATTAATAAATAATATGATTGAAAATAATTTACCTCGTTGACTGCAAAGAACTGGACAAACGCTTTCACTGCAATCCTCACCACCGAAACCAGGATTACATTGGCAATGACCAAGAAGACATTCCCCTTTCCCGCTGCAGCCATTAGGACAATTATGCGTCATGTCTTCGGCTATCACAGCAGTGAAGGAAACTTCTTGTGGGTCGCCATCGTCGTTGTACAATGAAAGAAACCAGTGACCGGGTTCCATGTAATGAGTCACTTCTTTCTTTATTGACGGCTATAGAAAATATATTATATAAATGTCACTCTCATATGATTACTTTATAGATAAGTTTTTAATTATACAAATTGTTTATGCTCTCATTTATTAAATAAGTCAATATAAGTTTTTTAATTGACTTATTGACCAAACAAAAAGTTTGTACAAATATTAGGGCGAACCAAAAGTTTGTGCATAATTTTAGTTTATATTAATATTTTCAAAATAAATATTACAAAACAATAAACACACGAGTATTAGGTTCACCCTAATAACAAAAACAATTTAATTTCTTAAATTCTTGTTCGGCTTGGGGAAACAAACAAAAAATAATAAATAAGATGTAAAACAAAAAGGGAGAATTACGAGATGTTATTTTGCGTGTTCTTTAAGAATGAAATAAAATACGTAAGAGTCGTAAAAATTCGAGAAAGAAATAAACTTTAAAGAAAGAAAGAGAGAGAGGGTTAGAAGGATAAGATAAATAAATCATGTAAAAAGAAGTAGAAGAAGAAGAAGAAGAAGAGAAAAAAGAAATAAGAAACAAAAAAAGCAAACTGGGTATCAGAACATACAATAACACTAACATGGGACGCCCTGGTGGTCCGAGCTTTGAATCCACTTAGTACTTCAAGTAGGTCGTATTGCGTGTGCGTTGGTAGTGCATTTCTTCTTGCATATACACCAATACTCGCACCACGTGGTATGTTATAGTCAAAACGAACGTAGGCTGCCTCCGATTGATAAAATTGCATATTCCAGTAGCTGTACGGTTGAATTTCTTTGCTAAGCTTTTGACCAAGCCCAACTTGTGCAAAAGTAGTACCATCTGGTGGGAACGACCTTGCCGGAAAAGTTCTTGCACCTGTTAATTAGTAATGAGAAAAAAAAAGGAAAGTGTTGTCAGTAAAATTGCATTGTGAAATTTTTCATTGATTTTTCAATATTTTTGTATCCAAAAAAATTGCATTGGAATAAAATAATAATAATAATAAAAAAAGGAAACAAACAGCTCAGGCGTTCGATGCTATGCGAATTTAGCAATGGAACTCGTGTCTCGTTCTTATTTCATTTTTTTATTCATTTCTAATCGTTTGCCATTGTTGAATCGTTGTAAATGTTTGACACATTTTTCAAAACCTATAAAATGATTTGTACTATTTTCTTACGTTATAATATAAAGAACACTGAAATCACACAGATCACACGATGCAGTTTAAAAAAAACAGGTAATTTTTATAAATATTCAACTACGTATCTACTATGGAGAAAAAAAAAAGAAAAACAAACCCATAACCATACAACCATGTAATAATAAAAAAAGCACGTCAATAGTTAACATTTAAATTAACATTTGTGCTTGAAACAAATATACTTGTTGTGTTACTATATTACTACGTGTTTAGGGTAAGCAAAAACAAGCTAGAGCACATTAGCGATAGAAAAGATAAGAATTGAAAAATACAGCGTAAAGAAAAGATAAAAAGATAAAAAGAGATAGATAGATAGATAGATAGATAGATAGATAGAGAAAGAAAAGGAAATAAAAAAGAAAGGAAGAAAGTAAACGGGGCCTCACCTTCTAGAATTAATATAATAGGCTCTGGGGGTAGTGTAGTGGTTGTAGAACACGTGACAACATCGGTGCTAGTTGTTTCCGGTTCAGAAGTTGAGGAGGACTCGCTCGTAGATTCCGTGTCCTCCTCGGTATAATAATCTTCAAAATTTATTGTCGTACTATTCACAGTTGTTTCATCAAAATGTCTCGTCAAATTGTCAATCCTATTTTTATTCATTTCCACCCGATCATTTTTAATTTCATTATCATTACTATATGGAACATCGATTGAACTTGAATTATCCATTTCACGTTGATCGAAATCCTGCTCGAAGATGAGATTAGTATCGTCTATGGCTGAAAAATTGTCCCATTCGTCAGACGATGAGTCCATGCATGGACAAGAACATTCGCATTCCCCGCCACCCCAAATTGGTGGTGGAGGTGATGTTGGCGGTTGTGGTGGGGGTGGTAAATGAACAATGTTGATAGGTTCGACAACGTTAACGACATTTTCCAATATTTTATTATTATTATTATTATCAGTTTGCGAGTTGCTTGATGATGATGATGATGATGATTTTTTAACTTGTTTAACATTTGCCGAATGATTTTCAGGCTCGATTTCCATTGGCACGGAAACCGAAAGCACGTAGAGAGGTTGAGAAGCACCCGATGATGAGTCTCCGTTTGCGATGGTCACGTTTACGAGTACTCGATGGGTCGATGATGTTGACGATGATGATGATGATGATGATGATGATGATGATGATGAACGGTGATCGCGTTCAACCGGTACTTCGATTATCTGCACGTGCTGAACTATCGGAAGCTTTGTGTTCGAATTGAAAGCATTGTTCGACGAATCATGCAACTTTTCATGCATATTATTATTGTTATATTCTTTATTATTGACACCTTCATTGACCTGTTGTTCTTTAGGTTTCTCATGTTCCTTCATTTCGGATGATTCCTCTTTGTAAAATTGTTCCTCAAATTTTCGCAAAAATTCTTCGTCGCTGCCCTCCCGCATGACTATTTGTAGATCATCCTTCTGACGATCCAATCGATTATGATCTTTACTCAATGTTCTTACCTCGTTGTTGAGTATGTCATCAGTTGTTCTATCAGCGTTGTCGATAGATTTGTATATAGTTTTTGTATTTTTAATGTTACCATCTGTTTTAGAATTTAAATTTAATTTCACAATCTCAACCTCGTCTTGTCCGTACGTATAAATCGGTATCGGATAATCGCGTTGAAGTTCTTCAGATTTTTCTTTGATCGGTTCAACTGGACTTTCGATAAATTCGGATGAAGAGGATGACGATGACGATGACGATGACGATGACGAAAAATCCTCGCGAGACAATTCTCGTGTCTCTTTAACAACGCTGGAAACGTCAGTATGTTGTTCTTCTTTTTTTTGATTATTATTATTATCATCAGACTCGTTAAAATTATTTTTATCCATTTTCATAAACAACGAATAAGGTTTGAATACAATCGAATTATTCTCACGTTCGTTAGTTCGATCGATTAGAGTGATCTCATTTTTTGTATTTTCTTCTGTTACTTTTCCTACTTCTTCTTCTTCTTCTTCTTCTTCTTCTTCTTTAATAGTAGTAGTACTCGTCTCGTTCCAATTAAAATCGTTGGCTCGAATCGAGGACGTTTCTGTGCCGTTCTCGTTTTCTTCTTCTATATCTATGATACTACTAGGAGTAATAGTAGTAGTAGTAGATAACTCTAGAGAAGCACTACTACTATTTTCAACACCTACGTATTCTTCAAGATCGTTGCCCATATCCGTGCTAAAGCTATTTACTTTAGACGATCGATTTCCTGGGGTAGCAACGGTGTCAGAAAGTATAGTACTACTGCCAATACTTGAATCTACCTTACCCGTAAGCATTAAAGTACTATTTTCTAACATTACAGATACCATATTATCATCCAACAAATTTTCAACGTTCATTGATATTACTTTTTCATCAATTATTGGTGGAACTTGTAGAAAATCTTCATTTTTATTTTCAATACTCGAATTGTTCTCATTGTAAAGTGTTTCATCATTCGTCGTATGCGAAATTGAATAAGATTTTTCATCGTTAAAATCTTTACTTTCGATTTGCGAGAAAGTAGATTTTTCGGATGAAGTGGAAGAAGAATAATGATAAGAGTTAGAATCGTTAGACACCATAGATTTAGCAGTTACTAATTCGATATCAACATTTGTGGTATCGTATTGCGAATAGTTAGCAGCGATATTGGATGATGACAAGTCAGTTACAACAACGATAGGCATTGTTCCTTCAGGAATCTCAGTTGTGTACAATGTATTTTCAATAATTCCCAAATGATCGTTTGATGTTTCACTTGGGTTAGATAATTTCGTATAATCCGTGTCATGCACAACCTTACCCTGATTATTATTTTCATGCAATATATTGGTGAATGATGTGGTTGTGGTAGATGCTACCCTGGATTCTTCCGATTTTATTAAATTGGAAGAATTTAAAGGGTCAGCAATTGAGGAAGACGTGTCGGAGGATAACAAACTACTTCTTGCATGCTGATTTAATTGGACGTCTCTACGTTTACGTGAATACACAAAACTATTTAATAGAAAAGACCAGGAATCGGTATTACCTCCTGGTGATGTTTGTTGTCTCGTTCTACCACTACCGGATTGTGATGACGTCGATGTTGTAGACGTTGATGTTTTGTTTGACTCGCTCGTTACTGATTTAGCATTTATGTTGTCACCGATTAACACTGTGCACGGTTTTGCTCCTTGATACGGACAGGTTACTAAATGCGAGGCTGTAAATTATATTTAAATCGATGTAATTAGTTTTCATTTTAATTGTTATCTTATTTTTTTTTGCATTGATCATGATTACAAAATCACGATTTACTTAGGTGAATTAATGAGAAATATTGTATATACAATATGCATCATAATTTTATTTCTTTTTCTTTTTTTTTTTTTTTTCTTTTACCATTGTTCTCTTATCCAATTTTGTTTTTTTTTTAGATGAACAATAGAAAGTTAAATCAAAAAAGAAAAAAAGTTTTAAACGTTGATTAGAATAAAATAATATATCCTATTATGAAACAAACCTGCGACATATGTTAGGGCTGCTATCAGGCAAAGGGCGAGCGTAATTACAACTATGGCAATTAGTTTCCAGCTACACCAATCGATTCCCTTGCGGAAATGGCATCGAATGCTTTGTCTCCTCATCGGGATCATCGATGGGGCGTGACCGTAAGGTAAAGGTACTCTGTAATCAAAGAATTAGAGTTTATTTTTTTTCTTTTTTTCAATTGTAAAACACAAATTTACGATTTTTTTTTTATATTTTCCATTTAAATTTAAGTATTTTGCATTTAAAGATATTATAAACTCTTTATATTATACTTCGTAGTATATGTTTCTTCACGCGAAAATATCATTGATTAATAATTAATTTTAATTTATTTAAAAAGAGATACACACAAATATTTTTCATTATTATTTTACATTTTTCGTCGATTAAATTATTTTCCATGAATGATATTTACTTGATTAATATTTTGCGCCTTAGAAGAGGCAACCCTTTATACTTTGTTGTATACGTATCTTTATATAACAGCACTATATTTAATAGTATATTATTTTATCATATTTATAAGTAAATTATTTTTTCAGATAATAATAATAATTATACTCTTTTACTAAATAATGATTTTGACATTTTTAAAAATATCTATTTAAACAAAAAAAATAGCAATAAATTACCTCAAACACACTCCTGAATTCATACATTGTAATACTTTTCTAAAGTAATAATCAAAAAAATAGACTTTTATATTATAAAAAAAAAAGAACAAAGAATATTTACTCAATTAAAAAAAGAACAAATTTTCTTACAAACTGCCAATATCGAACTATAAACTTCGTAACTTTAACTTTATTTTATATATAAAGTAATTCGATCAATTATTATTACTTCTATCAGTTAGATGCTCGTAAATATAAAAAACAAGGATGGATGGTACACGAGTTCTGACGTTTTGCGTTTACTGGAAACTTTTTCGAGGTTCTTCCCTCTCTTTCTCTCTTTCTTCCACATACACACATACATAAATACAAACATATACATATATAACCACAAATTCATCCAGAAATATACATACATACAGAATAGATTCAAACATTCATATACCAAAATAAAAACTCTCATCAAGTACACACACACACACACACACACACACACATATACGTGTATTCTCTCTCTCTCTCTCTTTGCCAACAAACTCTGCATTACGAAATTGCGCAGTTTCACGATAGACTCGACTTAATTGGTGGAATACCGTATTATTAACATTGAGTACGTTCTCCAAATATATTTCCATCTAAGTACTTGTAATGATGCTTTAGAAATGAAAGAGCAACATAAATTAAAGACATACAGAACTAGGAAGAGGGACAAGGATATCAAAGAGGAGGGGGGATAAGGAGGGGGGTTTAGAAAATAGAAGAAAGGAGAATAAACGGAACGAAAGGGAGGAGGAAGAATTTAGAGAAAGAGAGAGAAAGAAAAATATGAGCCGTTTATTTTGAAAGTGGCTTAAGTCCATTTATACTTAAATTGAGATATTTAAGGTTTTGTGTTTCAACGCAATTAAAAATATACGTACAGAATACCAATGAGTTATGCTGCTTAAGTGTATCTAAAGGTGTTAAATTTACAGTTCTTATTAAAATAATGGCAATTTTTAAGTAAATAATATGCGTTTTCTTACCAAGAATGGAGTTAGGCCACTTTCAAAATTAACAACCAGATTCGTTATCAAATTTGAAGGAACCGAAGTCCATTCAATGTAATTTAAGATGCTTCAAATTGAAAAAAAAAAACAATACTCATTTTATTTTACATATCTTTATAACAATTTTAAAAACATAAATTATGCGATTGAAAACATTTTTTACAAACATAAATTACAAAACAATTTTCTACTCATCTACATTTCGTGTATGTGAAAGGGATTTAAAGTAATCATGATGTTCCGGTGGTATATATCGTAGTAAGTCAATTATATCCTTAAATTTTGCGGTTGTAATTTGTCTGATATTTTTATACAGTGATGTCAATAGAATATTTTTCGAATTTTTTTAGTCTACCCTGACGTGGTAATAAATTCAGGACTTGAAAATTTTCCTTCTCATTCATTGATGTCATATAGAAAATTTAATACGGTTCATTTTTTGACAAAACGCATCGAACATATTTTAAACCAGTTTATTGGTTCTCCGTTAGAATTCTTTATTCTTTTAAAAATTGCGTCTTCTAATAATTTTGTTGATTTAAAATCTTCTTGTTTCATTTCATGTACTAATAAAGTTATTACCTTTCCGACACTTTTCGATAATATTGTAATAATCTCGGGTGACAAACAGTAAATTATTATTAACGCTTTTGTTATATTGCGTTTATAATATATTACTGAAGTAGCAGTAATTTAAATGTAAATGGACTTAGGCCACTTTCAAAATAAACGGCACAGTTATTCAACTAACTCTGAAAACTTATGTGTCCAGAATGACCGTATTTACTCGGAATATAAGTAATCTTAACCCTTCTTTGCATGATTTTTTCTTTTTTTTTAAAATAAATCAGGGTGATGTAATTAATGCTCTAGATTAAAGGAAAAATATTTTAAAAAATCCTAGTGCTATTTGTTGACAACTGCGTTTTGTTGTACGCAATAGTCGCTTAAATAGTTGCCAGCAACAACAAATAAACAGTACAAGGGCTTTGAGTACCTTTTTTTGTTGACTAAATATTATGATTGAAATTTCCATCATCATGCGAAGAAGGGTTAAATGCTTTATTGATAGATAATTTGAAGTTGTAGATGTAACCATGCGTAATCGAAAATAATTGACAAATGGAGTTAGGCCACTTTCAAAATAAACGGCTCATATATAAACGAGATAGAAGGGACATGAGTGAATAAGTGAATAGGTGAAAAGATGGATAGGGGGTGGGAGGGGGTGGTGGGGAGGGGATTTGGAAAGTATCTAGTATTTCTCTCCTATTCGGTTCGTCTTAACTTAACGTTTTTTTTTCTTTTTCTTTTAAAAGGGTCGTATATTTTTATCTCTTAAGTGTAAGACACATTGTTACCACCAATATTCTTCCTCGTGTAACTCACAAATGGTTAATGAAAATATTTAAAGAGACAGGTGCACGGTTTCCCAGAGATTCGCGAAAAGGTAGTATAATATGTATTGTAGTAGTACTTCGTTTGTTTTGTTTCCAAACGTTATATAATGGAAAACTAAGAAAAGCGAAGGGTGTAGTATAGGAAACAACAACCTTTACCCCTTATCTTCTTCTTCTTCTTCTTCTTTGAGAACGTTACTGTACTTTCTTAACTATACCACCATCCGTTACACCATTTTCTTCTCTGTTCCTTTTTCATTGTTTTTTCTTTTATTTCTTGTTTTGTATTTATTTCTGTTTGTGTGTGTTTTTGTTTTTTTTTTCATTTTTTTGGTTAACCAGAATTGGTCTTTTTACCTCTCGAAGATGGGAAACATTTAATTTATTTAGAAATAAATTATCGAGTAAGTTTTTTTCACGTTTGTTATTTGGTAAAAATTTATCTCGTTATTTCGAGAAAAAAGAAAGTATTTTAAATAAAAGAAAGCGTGGGAAAAAAGGTAAATAGAAATAAATAATACTCGATCGATCATTTTTTTTCTCTATTCTTTTTCTGTTTTTTTTTTTTATTCCATCGCGTCAAAGTTTATCTTTCTGTCTTGAAAAAGGAAAAAAAAAATAAGAGAAGGAAATACCACAGGAAGAAATTATTGTTCAACCCTTTCTTACTCACATATATATATATATACAATATATGTATATATTTCACTGTATCAATAATTTAGTTATTTGATCACGATAAAGAATAAGAAAAATATGAGATTGTCATGGGAATAGAAAATTTTATGTATTGTTTAGTCATAAAAATATACGTGTCCAAGAGAAGTAAAAAAGAAAAAAAAAGGGAAAAAAAATAGAAAAATAAGAAGCAAGAAAATAACAAAAGGCGGATCGATCATTCCTATCATTCGTTAAAATCGACAGCAATACCTCAGGGAGGTATTTCTATTTTTTCTTTTCCCTTTTTTCCCTTCTCTTCTTCTTCTTCTTCTTCTTTTCATAACCGACGAATAATATAATAGCTCGTTTGATTCGTTTTTATATGCACGATTATCTATTTTAAGTTTATAAACTTCGGGATTATTTTTGTAGAAAAAATATTTCGTTACAGTCATCCATCTAATTCAAGGATCCGTGGCGAACGTGTGTAAAAGGACATCCGTAAGGATCCGTTTTGATTTTTCACGGCTAAGAAAGTTGTTCTTCACCTTTTCCCCATTTTACTTTACCTTACCTTTCCTTTTATTTTCTTTCTTACTTTTTCTCACATCCTTTTTTATTTTTCAAATAACACGACATACGACAACGGACTACGAGAGATGTGAATTTTCGTTCAAACATCGAATCATTGTGCCTGTTTCTCGTTTGAATGGATGATTCACGACACTGTCAAATCTTGCTTCTGTACGAAGAAGGGGGGAAAAGAAAAGGAAAAATATATATATACGTATACACATATATATATATATATATATGAGAAGAAACCAATGATACTTCGTATCGTTACGGTTGATTCGTTTCGATCGTCCTTAATCTTGGCACGCTTTTACAATTTTTTTCAGTTAACAATATTTTCTTGCTTCTACATTCCTCTTGAAATTTTTTTCTTTCTATCGTATTTCTCGTCATTTTTACATTTTATTTAACATTTTTAATATATTGAGTGTCGAGTTATATAAATAACTTTTGTATTTCTTTTTATATCATACGTTTATATTTTATTTTCATTAAATAATAAAATTGTATTAATATTGGCTACATTTTTTGGAAGTTAGTTATGATTTGATCTAATATATAATATATTAATGATTAGTATTCATTTTTTAATTATAAATTTGAATTAAAAATTATCCATTCAAATTATTGCATTTTGTTCATTAGATTTTATATACAATTATGATTAGAAATATTGAATTATTAATATTATTATTAAAGAATTGTTTGATTTATTATTTAAAAAAAAATAAGGATGAGTTTTTACCTGTCCATGTTGTTTTGCAGTTCGACTTTTATTGGACTATTCCCTGTCGATTGATTCTTATTGTTGTATTCATTCTTCGGTATCTCTGAAACAAACAAAAATAAATGATTGTTAATAAAATAATTAGTATGATAAACAAAAAGAAAAATAATAATACACACATTAATAAATATAGAATAATAATTTATCATTAATTATCATATACAGTATACCGAAACAAAACTGATTAGCATGGTTGAAAATGTTTAATATTTTGCGCCAGAAGATAGGCAACCCTTTATACTGCATTTAAAAAAAAGACATATATTTAATTTTCATACAATTTAATAAAAAAGTGAAGTTATCAATTGTTTCAATTGATAATTAATGATTGCTTAATCTAACAATTGTTAATAGAAAACTTTTGTTTGGTATTGTATATCGAGTATAAATTGTAAATAATTTCTAATGATTGATGTTGATCGTTAAGAGGATTTCTACAATGCTATTTGTTACCTTACTATTTTCTCTTTTAACCGGATAAATAAGTCTTTACGATGCCAGACGCACGACGTCTTTTCTTTCGTTCGAGAACATCGATGTGCACACGCGTAGAATGTAAGAGAAAGAGAGAGAGAGAAAGGGAAAGTGTATGTGTGCGTGTATGAGAGAGTTAAAGAAGCGGTCGTTGAATCGATAAGTACATGATTCACCGTGGTTTTGGTTTAAATTTCAAGGGACGACATCGTTGACAAAACCGCAGGGTGTTCAAAGAAAAAAAAAAGGGGCAAACAAAAAATAAAAAACGTTTGTATTTATTTACTGAGAAAATTGTAAGCAATGCAATGAGTGTGTTTGACACTAAAATACAATGTTTGATTTTATTCGAAGATTTTTATTTTATTCTCCATTAATTTGGTTTCAATTTTAATGAACAATAATGATTACAGGAAAAAAGAAACAATAAAAGTTTGTATTTAATTACTGAGAAAATTGTAAACAATGCAATGAGTGTGTTTGACAATAAAATACAATGTTTGATTTTATTCGAAGATGTTTATTTTATTCTCCATTAATGTGGTTTCAATTTTAATTAATAATAATGGTTACAGGATTGTAAGGTGATCAAAGAAAAAAAGGAACAATAAAAGTTTGTATTTAATTACTGAGAAAATTGTAAGCAATGCGATGAGTGTGTTTGACACTAAAATACAATGTTTTATTTTATTCGAAGATTTAGATTGCATCTTTCATTAATTGATTGATATTTTTGAATTTTTATCATCATTCCTGTGATGATAATATTTTACTGTCTACAATTTAACAATAATTTTAATTTTATAAATAATTTCTAAACAAAATATAATATACAAGTTCGATGGAAAATAAAATTGGAAAAGAAATTGTGTTTAAAAGGGGTTAAAGAATATTATGAGACGTCACTGTGCAAGAAATAGAAGAAAAAGGATAAGAATGCAGAAAAATGTCAGTGACACGAAGAAATTAAAATTCTGATCAGGCTTCTCTCTCTCTCTCCCTCTCTTTTGATTTCTTTTTAAGGCGTATAATCGCTTCTACGTTGATTTTTATTACCCATATATGTAGTTAAAGCTAGTTTACCAGTTTTATCGAGAAAAAGATTGAAAAAATATCAGAGTGCAAATAATATTCTTATATTCTAGTAAAAAATTTTGTTCCTTGAAAATATATCCAACAATATTTCTTATAATATAAAATAAAAAATTGTTGTTTCTCCTAAAGTCTCACATTTTCTTCAAAATTTAAACTAATATTTTAAAAAAGAAAATATATTTTATAAATATTATATAATATAATTTCAATATTATATACAATATTGTATTAACAATATACAATATTAATATTGAAACCTTTAGATATGGAAAATTTTACAATTTCGTATTCTGGAGATTGATAAATTCAAAATACAGATTTTGATTGAACTAACTTAATAGTATTTTGCAATAATTATTGCACGTGTTAAACAATGAGTTTACAATTTGGATAATAATTAAACCTTTTTTTTAAGTATTCTATATTTTTAACACAAGCCCTCTTTTTTTTCCAGTACGAAGTATCCTCCCCCCTTAAATTACTCGACGATGGATATATCTTCTTTCCAAGCACCCCTCTTTCTCTTTGTTCCCTATCACTCTTTCCTACTCTCCCCTTCTTCGAATGATTAATTACCTGCCGACTTCGTTAATACTCAAACGAAGTAACGGTCTCAAATTGATTACAGTTTAATGTTTCCCAGATTAACATACGGGCTTTCGCGTGGCTGCGAAACTGCATTTCACCTTTCATGATATTTTCACCCCACCTTTTTTTTATTTTCATAATTATTATGATTGTTTTACTATCAATTGAAACGATCTAAATTATTTGTATCGTCAAAAAATCAAATTTATCAACACTTTTGAAGGTTGCAATTTAATTTATGTTTTATTATATTTCTTATAATAATTAATGTAATGTAATTAATTAAAAATATTAAAATGATATTATTACAATATTCGCAATAAGGTTCGAAATTGTTATTTATCATTTTTGTTGCGAAAAAAAAAAGTAATATCTTTTTCAGCATTGAAAGTTGATGGACGTGTGTTTTTTAAATTTAAAGGCGTGGGAAGGTAAGGGCCCTTCTTCACGTATCCTGGCCCCCTGCCGCTAATTGTAGGTGTTAAGAAGCAGCACGCGGTACCTGAACGTTGTCTAGCGATTATGGCATTTAAGCAGATATCTCCTGATTATACCCATTTCCAACTAAAAACCGAAGATCTAACTCTTTCTTTCGACGTTTAAAGCTGCGCACGAAATCAAATTAAAGGGAACACACCCTTCCTCCTCCTCCTCCTCCTCCTCCACCTCCTGCTGGACAAAATAACGTGCCATTTATATTCACCATGATTTATAACCTAATTCGTGCTACCTGAGCGCACGATGGATTATTATTTCTAAAAGTTTGCTACAAAAATTTCTCGGCTTGGAAGTTACTAGACAACCGTGACTTTTTAATTATTACCTTTCAATGATTTGAAACGAATCTTCACACGCGTAAAATTCGAAGAATTTATTATGAAAAATATTTATTATGGTCAGATTACTTTATTAAATTTTATTGCTTTTTTTTTTTCATTAAAAATTGTTAGATAATCATAATTTTGTAATACCATTAAATGCAACGTTAATTTTGCAATATCAATACGAAAATAAAATAATAATAAATTAAAATATTATTTAAATAAGGATAAGTGTTATTGACTCCCATGGCATTTAATAATATTAATTACAATATTACAATGATTTAAAAAAAATGTTCACACGCGTGAAATTCTAAGAACTTGTTACGAAAAATAATTTGATAGTGATATATGTCTCAATTTATGTTCAGTAAGTATCAACTACAATGATTAGACGATTTATCGATAACTTACTGTCCAAAATACACACACACACACACACACATATTGAATACAAAATATAATAGGAAGACAGCAGCTTTATAAAGTATAGAAGAAAATCTTGAGAATAATAGTAATATCATCGAATCTAAAGTATACTAATGTATGTGGTATGAGAATAAAAGAGGTGTAGTCAACTGTAAACGAATAAAGATTTTTCAGTATTATATATAAAAGGTCATAAGCGTTGGACAGTATCATAACCTTGAGTCAATAAGTTTTAAGATCATAAATCAAGGTCTCGGTGAAACAGCTTTCGATGTTCTGTCATTTCTGTCTCCTCCTTGAGAAAGGACACCCCATTTAGGATCCAACACTAACTTATAATGCTTTCAGTTTACAGAGAGACATATACATACACATGTATATAAGAAAACGATAGATATAAACATTTTGTTGGAAAAATGAACATAACAAAAATTGAAAATCCTGGCGCCTGGAATATATCATATACACACATACACACACACTGTAAAGAATATATATATATATATTTTTTCTTTTTAAAATCTTTATTTTCCTCAGAAGACAGAAAAGAAATGAAGAGGAGAGTTCTTAACTGAAGAGAGAACCATCCCTCAGGTATCTACTTGTTGTACCTTTTCATGTTCAGTATGCGAGGGTAACGAACTCGTTTTCATTTTCCTTTTGTTAACTTTAAAATATATTCAAGGGAATATTTCATCGAGTTAAACCACCAATATGTGTGTACAAATCTATATTTTTGATTTTCTATTCTTTTCATTTTATTTTTTACCTTTTGTTATGTTCAATGTGTAAAAGTATTTTCGATTGGATTGACTTTTTCGAATACTTTCGAATGAATTAATTTTAGGACAATTTTTTAGGAATTGTGGTATGGGTTCACAAAATTGTGTGATTTATTAATAAATAATATTAATAAAAATAATAATAGAAATTAATATTAATTAAGATTAGATTAAAATGATTTAAATGTTATTGTTGTTTCTATTTTATGCGTGTGATTTTTTTTTTTTCACGAAAAATTATTCTATCGTTGATGACGAATCAAATGAAAAAAGTTGAATTGTTTTTAACGGATTAAATGAATAATGAAACAAAGTGAGACAGAGAGTAGGGAAGAAAGACAAAAAGAAAATAAAAGAGAGAAAAAGAAAGATAGTTAAAAGAAAAAAGAAAGAGAGAGTGTGTGTGTGTGTGAATGTGAAAGAGAGAGAGAGAGAATGAGATGGTAGTTGGTATCTCAACAAACAGGCAAGTTAGAAAAGTTTAGAAGAAAATCTCTAAGAGTTTTCAGGTACTTTCGAGGCCTTCCCGAAGGTCTTTAAGGGTCCTGCTTCGTCGATAAGATAGGAAGTAGACAAAAAAAAAGAGAAAAATAGAGAGAAAGTGTATGTGTGTGTTTGTATATGTAAAAGTAGAGAAAGAGAAGGAATAGTAAAGAATGCATTTGTTATTATACACTATGTTGTTCCCTTTCTTTCTCTTTCTCTTTTCATTTTTCGTCAAATATTCTTTAAACTTATTATTAATGAATAATTGTAGCACTGTGTGTGTTTTATTTTTATTATATTCCTAGTGGTCATTTTTTACTATGATATTTTGTGTATTATTTTATTCAAATTATGTTTTGCTTTTATTATTATATATATGTTTTATTTTTTATATTATTATTTTGTATTATATTACGTTTTTTATTTTTATTTTATATGTCATAATATGTTTTTTAATATATTATTATTATTTTATATTATACTACATATGTTTTATTTTATATTAATTACTTTATATTATGTTATTTTTGATAAATAAACGAACCTGCAATTAAAGCAAAATTCCATTCTAATGGGACTACTTACAATTAGCCCTCTTTTATGAAATTCCTTAATAAATTTAAATTTCAAAATTCAAAAATTTTCATTATCTTCCTTTTACTTTCTCCTTTATCTTATATTCAGTTTACTCTTCACCAGTTACAATCGATTACGATCTTTACCCTCGTCAAAGATGTCATCCACCCTCTCTTCCCCCTCCTTCTCGCCCTACATTTTCTCTCTCTTTCTTTCTTTCTTTCTTTCTTTTAACTTCATTAATTACTTACCCTATCGTAACCAGAATTGAAACAACATTAATTCAAGAATATTATCATATACTTATACCGCACAGTTATATTTCAAAGCTCACACTATCATTACCATTTTCAAATTCATGTTTTAAAAAAATTACTATTGGTTCGTTTTTCTTTTTTTTTCCATTTTTTTTCTCGATTTTCCATCGTCAAATATTAGACTCGCTTACTTTATCCTTCTTTATCTATACCATTTACTTCTTTTACTTTATCAACTGAAAAGTTAGTAGTCTTTAAATGTTTGACTTCTTTTGATCGGGGTTTGGGGGAGTGGGAGGGTGAGGGGGTGAGGTGGGGAGGGGAAAATCGAAGTTAACTTATAGAGATGTACTCATATATACTTTTCGTAAAGTCCGAGGAAAGGCCTGCCGAGATAGGAGTTACTTTTGATCTTTTAGTCTCCCCTCCCCCTTCCAACCCCAACCCACCAATCTTCTTTTCAAAAACCCCCTTCTTCTTTCATCTACCATCTTTTACTCATCCACCACCGAAACTTTATCGTAGACGGGACACGCGTTCGTTTACTCGGTGAAATACGAAAAACAACTTTTCTCGACTCGTTTTAAGTAGAGATTTTAAAAGGATTCCTATTCTTATTTGAATTCATTTAAACAACTCCGTTCTCCACACACTCACCTAAGATTCTTCACCCTCCCTTTTTTTTATTCTTATTTATTAACTAATTGTATAATTTTCACATATCATGTGGTTTAATATTTCTTTCAGATTTTAGTACAATTATTTAAATCTCAGGTGTACATCAGTTTGGTTTATAAAGTTGGGTTTGAAAGAACGTAATGAAAGATCAATTTG